CCCTTCTTCGTTCCCGTCCTACCTCCTCGGACACTCGTCTTTCTTCTCTTTCTCCCTCTCTTCCATCTCCCTCTTACCCTATCCTTTTCTTGCCCCCCCCCCCCTTCAACACCGATCAACCCTCCCTCCCTCACTCCCTCCTCCCCGTCTCTCCCTTTTCTCCTACATTCGCGACTTCCTTCCCCATCTCCCCCTCCCCTCTCTTCCTCATCTCTTACCTTTTCCACTTCCCTGGCCATTTCACCCTCCCTCATTCACTCACTCTCCCTCACCCCACTCACCCTCCCTCCCTCTTCTCCTACGCTTGCGACTTCCCTCCTCATCTCTCTCTCTCTCTCTCTCTCTCTCTCTCTCTCTCTCTCTCTCTCTCTCTCTCTCTCTCTCTCTCTCTCTCTCTCTCTCTCTCTCTCTCTCTCTCTCTCTCTCCTTCTTCCCCCGCTCCTCATTATTTTCCCTTGACACAATACAGGTATTGAGATTAATGTGAAATACAGAAAAGGGGAGACGAAAAGGACGGCGCACGTGGCAGGGAGAGAGGAAGGGAGAGAGGGAAGAGAGAGAGGGAGAAGGGAGAGGGGAGAAGGGGAGAGAGGGAGAAGGGAGAGAGGGAGGAAAGGGAAAGAAGGGGAGGAAGAGAAAAAGAGGAGGAAGGGAGAGAGGAAGGAAGGGAGAGAGGGAGGAAGGGAAAGAGGGAGGAAGGGAGAGGGGAGGAAGGGAGAGAGGGAGGTAGGGAGAGAGGGATATAGGGAGAGCATGAGGTAGGGAGAGCGGGAGGAAGAGAGATAGGAGAGAGAGAGAGAGAGAAGAGAAAGAGAGAGAGAAGAGAGAGAGAGAGAGAGAGAGAGAGAGAGAGAGAAGAGAGAGAGAGAGAGAGAGAGAGAGAGAGACGAGAGAGAGGAGGGCGAGAGGGAGACTGGAGATGAGAGAGGAGAGAAGGAGAGAGGGGCGAGAGGAGAGACGAGGACGATCGGAGAGGGAGGAAGGAGCCACGAGGAGGAGGAGGGGAGGGGAAGAGAGAGGGGAAAAATAAGAAAGAGGGAGAAAAGAGAGACAGGAGAGAAAGAGAGAGACGAAAGAGCGGATGAGAGAAGAGAGAGAGAAAGAGTAGATAGAGTGAAGAGGAGAGAGATGAAGAGGAGAGAGGGAAGGGAGAAGGAGGAGAGGAGGAGAGGAGGGAGACTGGAGGAGAGAGAGAGAGAGAGAGAAGGGAACGAGAGACGGAGGAAAGAGAGAAGAAAGAGGGAGAGGAGACGAGAGGAGGACTGAGGAGAGAATCTGTCGAGAGAGGAGAGAACGCGAGGGAGAGGGGAGGAGGGGAGGAGAGAACAGAGAGAGGAGGATGGGAGAGGAGAAGGGAGAGGGGAGGCAGGAGGAGGGGAGGGAAGGAGAAGAGGAGATTAGGGGGAGATGAGTAGAGAGCAGAGAGAGAGAAGAGATGAGAGACGAGAAGAGGAGGAGGAGAGGAGGAGAGAGGGAGGTGAGAGAAAGAGCTGGAGAGCAGAGAGAGAAGAAGGGAGAGAGAGGAGAGAAGAGAGAGAGAGAGAGGAGAGAAAGAGAGAAAGAGAGAAAGAGAGAAAGAAGAGACGACGAGAGAGAGGAGAGAGAGAGAGATCGAGAGACGATACCAGAGACCAGAGTGCGAGGAGGAGAGAGGAGAGAGAGGAGAGGAGAGAGATGAGAGGAGAGAGAGAGAAGGAGAGAGAGAGAGGAGAGAAAGAGACAGAGATGAGAGAGAAGAGAGAGAGAGAGAGAGAGAGAGAGAGAGAGAGAGAGAGAGAGAGAGAGGAGAGAGACGAGAGAAGAGAAAGAGAGAGAAGAGAGAGAGAAGAAAGACGAGAGAAAGAGAGAGAGAGAGGAGAAGAATGAGAGAAAGAGAGAGAGAGAGAGATGAGACGAGAGAGAGAGAGAGAAGAGAGAGAAGAGATGAGAGAGAGAGAGAGAGAGAGAGAGAGCCGATGAAAGAGAAAAAAAGGAACCGGAGCCACTCACCGTAAGAGGATACTCGACATGATTCATTAGCTCTGTCATTCATCCCGGGGCCGTCATGAAATCATGCAGCGTTGGCAGCACTGCATGACAACTTCATTTATTACGCACATGCATGAAACGGCGAGGGGGGGAAGGTTTCTACACAACGGGAAACAGGGAAGACAGGGGCCGTGTAGTGTGCGTGTGTGTGTTGTGTGTGTGTGTGTGTGTGTGTTGTGTGTGTGTGTTGTGTGTGTGTGTGTGTGTGCGTGTGCGTGTGCTGCGTGTGCGTGTGCGTGTGTGTGCGTGTGCGTGTGCGTGCGTGTGCGTGCGTCGTTTGCGTGTGTGCGCGCATAAACACATCACAAATACATATATAGGCACAGAGAGACAACCAAACAGACACAAATAACCCAAACGCCGAGAAAAAAGACAAACACAATCTTACAACAATCGAGTGAGAGACCACCAACCCAACCCCCAACCACCCATCCCCCACCTACCCCCCGAACCCACCGACCCTATTCCCTTCCCCCATCCCCTCCCCTCCTCCCCCCTACCCCTCCCTCTCCTTCTCCCCACCCCCTCCGTACCCCTTCCTCGTCCTTCCTCCCCACTCTTTCCCCAACCCCCTTCCCCTTCCTCCTCCCCCATCCCCTCCCTACCCCCTTCCTCGTCCTTCCTCCCCCCAACCTCCTACCCCTTCCTCGTCCTTCCTCCCCCCAACCCTCCTACCCCCTTCCTCCCCCACCCCCTTCCCTTTAAAAGAGATCTAGCGCTCGAAACCCCAGCCAAAGAATCCCGCCGGCCGTTCCCCTGATACTCACAGCTCTCCCGCCCTCGCTACGGTCAGGCGGAGCGGAGGAGGAGGAGGAGGAGAAAGAGGAGGAGAGGGAGAGGAGGAGGAGAAAGAGGAGGAGGAGGAGAGGAGGAGAGAGAGGAGAGGAGGAGAGGGAGGGGGAGGAGGAGGACAATACGACCGTGATCAAGAACGGGGGACTGGCGCTCTGAGGCGAGACGGAAGGGAGGAGGGAGGGAGGGAAGGAGGGAGATAGTAAGGAGAGGAAGGAAGGAGGGAGATATGAGAAAGGAGGTTGGGAGGGTGGAGAGAGAGGAGAGAGGAGAGAGAAGAGAGAGAGGAGAGAGAGAGAGAGAGAGAGAGAGAAGAGAGAGAGAGAGAGAGAGAGAGAGAGAGAGAGAGAGAGAGAGAGAGAGAAGAGAGAGAGAGAGAGAGAAAGACAGACAGACAGACAGACAGAGACAGAGAAAAAGAAAGAGAGAAAGAGAGAAAAAAGAAAAATAAAGAAAGAGAAAGACAGAGATTACAGTTAAAACCTCCCCTGAAATTATGCCGTGACTTTCTGACAGCGAATATGATTAGATCTGTAACTGAATCTAAAACCACACTCGCAGTAACATAAATCGTAATAATAATAATAATGATAATAATAATAATGATAGTAATTACAATACTACTACTACTAAAAAATAATAACAATAATAATGATGATAATGCTAAATATAAAAATAATGATAATGGTAATAATAATGGTTATGATGATGAAAACAATAACAATAATAATAATAATAATAATAATAATAATAATAATAATAACAAAACAACAAAAACAATAATAACAATACTATTAAGAACAACAATCATACTAATGATAATAATAACAATAATAATAATAATAACAATGAATTAATGGTAATAATAATATATTTGATGATGAAAATAATGATGAAAATAATAATAATAATAATAATAATAATAATAATAATAATAATAATAATAATAATAATAATAATAATAATAATAATAATAATAATATTAATAATAATAATAATAATAATAATAATAATAATAATAATAATAATAATAATATAACAATGACAATAATGGTAATAATCAATAATGATAAAAAGATAATAATAATTACAATAACAACAAAAATAAAGATAATAACAACGATAACGTCATCACCATTAGGAGCAGCAACAGTAACAGCAGCAGCATAAATGTAGCACTAAAACAGTAAAAACAACAACCACTATAGCAACAACAACACTTGACAACCTTCTATTTTCTTCAACAAGCGCCATGGTGAAGAATTTATTTTCGTCGTCTGGAAAATATTTCCCTCCACCCTCTTCAACCTTGAAAAAAGTAATAACAGATCCCCTGCATTAATTTTCCTTCTTTAATTCTAGACACGAGCGTTCTTATATATTTATATACAGTAATGAATCATAGCTAGAATTATTATCAGATGGAATTAAGACGTTTTTAATTCTATATTAAAGGTCCTTGGCGTGATCTTATAATTCCTCCGTTTTCTTTTACCTTACTACCGTTTTCTGTAGAAACTACGCATGTTATTTTTCATCCTTTCTTGGATGTGAGAAACAGGTAAAGATAAAAGTTACGAAATACAAAATACAAGAGACAGAATAGATGTTTCGAGATACATGAAACCTTACACATGCCACGCTACAAGTTACAAGATAGGCCTACATGATAAGCGATACAATATACATGTGCAACTGCAAGTATCACATCAAACAGTAAGCTAACTTCCCAAAATAGAAACATAGAACAAATAACTGAACAAATTCTAAGACGAAAAGTAAGAAAAAACAACGGTACACATTTCACTTATCTTTATAATGATAAAGTAAATAACGACGATTTTTCTTGAACTTACCTTTAAACGCAACGGGGGCATCGGCTCTAGGGGGCGGGGCTTCCGTTTGAATCTCGACTGCTGGTTCAGTGGTGGCCACGCCTATGGCCACGCCCAACAGGAGTGCCACAACGCCCACCACGAAGGGGGACGGTTGACCCATCTTGGAGGTCAAAGTTTAGGTCACACTCTCTTCAACTGGCTATTTGACCTCGAAAATGTGCTGTTCTTGGCTTCAATTTTCTGTTTCTAAAATCTGATACGCACACACTTATTTCAATTTCTATTTTCACTTCGAATTTAACACTATGATTTTTATGATCCTTTGTTCTTTTTATATGTTTCTCTTCTTCGTTTGCTTAGTGTTTCGTTATTTTCCTTTATCTAGAAAGTATGATGTTTTCACAAACACTTTAGCTACATATATCTGTCGAGGAAAAGCAAGAATGATTATTAATGTTATTATTCTGCCACAGGTTATATAAACTGTATTACATATTCTGGTAAGAATTTAAAATGCAAACATGTACACATTCCACACAATATCGTTCTCTTTCTCTTCATTAAACATATAACTATATCTCAAGTTTCACCTCAGTAATAATAATAATAATAATAATAATAATAAAATAATAATAATAATAATAATAATAATAATAGTGTTTTATTATCAATGCTACCTTTTTTCTATTTATATTCTCCTCCATCTCTCTCTTCTCCTTCTCTATCTCCTCTCCTCCTCCTCCTCTTTTCCTCTCCTCCTCCCTCTTCTTCTCCACCCACTCCACCTCCTCTCCTCCTACTCCTCTTCTCTATACCACCCACCTACTTATCGCGTATTTAATGATCTCTCATCTTTCAGCGAATACATGCAGAGCGTCACTAACTGGCAATTTACGAAACCGGAGAAGTATTAAAGTGACAAACAAATTAGTCCTTTCTTTTTATACTTTTTCCCCCCGAGACTATTTCTTTTTTCTTTTTTTCGCATTTTTCTTGGTTCTCATCTCGACACTTCGCCGTATCGTGTGTCGAAAACGCAAGGCTAGATAGACAGACAGACAGATAGAAAGCTAGATGGATAGATGCAAAAATTAAACGTTTTGGTGACGAATAGACAACTGCGATCCGGTGTGACAGATTGTCGTTTTTAATTATCTTTTTTTTTTCTTCTTCTTCCGTCTTCTTTTTCTTTTCCATCTCCTCTCATCTTACCTCTCCTCCCCCTCCTCTTTAATTTCTCCTCTCCTCCCTCCCCCTCCCCTCCCTTACCCAATCCCCTCCCCCACAACCCGTATCAACAAAGCGAAAATTAACAAACGTTTAAGTGGTCAAGTCATTAATATACAGTTACTCCTCTGAAAAAAAAATCATTACTCGCTCAACATTTAACTCACATTCTTCCCATATTCACCACACATAAACAAACACATGAACCCCCCGCCCTCAAAATAAAAGAAAAAAGAAAAAGAAAGAAAAAAAAAGCTGTTCACACTTCGACATCCTGCCATGAACTCCTCCCCCCCCCTCCCTCCTCCCCCAACAGTTCATGATCTCGCGGTGAACATTGGTGAGTTATTCTCAACGAAATGTCATGTCTTATTAGCATCACGCTTGCCAAGGGCTTTGCAGATGTGGTGGTGAGAGGAGAGGGAGGGAGGGAGGGAGAAGGGGAGGGAGAGAGGAGGAGGGAGGGGAGAAGGTAGGAAGGAGGGAGGGGAGAAGAAGAGGAGGAGAAGAGGGAGGAGGAGAGAGAAGGAGAGGAGGGGAGAGAGAAGGAGGGCAGAGGGAGGGAGGGAAGGAGGGATGGACAGTAGCAAGAAGGGAGAATGGGAGAGTAGGAGGGTAAGAAGGTTGGAGGAAGAGAGGGAGGCTGGATGAGAGAGGGAAAGAAGAGAGAGAGAGAGAGAGAGAGAACATACATGCGAGAGAGAGAGTCACGAGAGATAAGCCATTTCTCATCGACTTACCGCCACGGAATATGACAAACGACAAAGTAATTCCGAAGAGAAAAAGAGCGTGATAAAGACACGAACACCCACACTTCCGCTAGTCCGAGACGCGTTCGAGACGTAATGAAACTGCTTCGCTCAATCGCTCCGGAGTTTCGACACAATGAATCACCGACCGTAGCAGCATATTAATTGACTTTTCTCTTCCGTGAAATGACCTACTAATCCGAAATGGAAGATAATCTGAGGGTGATTTTTTTATCTACGATGTAAGTTATATATGAGGAAAGAAGGGAAAATACTCTTACTGATTCTCATATTCTCTCTTTCTCTTTCTGTGATCCACTTACTCACCTACTCACACATTCACTCACTCACTCACACACACACACACACACACACACACACACACACACACACACACACACACACACACACACACACACACACACACACACACACACACACACACACAGCTCTCTCTCTCTCTCTCTCTCTCTCTCTCTCTCTCTCTCTCTCTCTCTCTCTCTCTCTCTCTCTCCTCTCTCTCTCTCTCTCTCTCTCTCTCTCTCTCTCTCCCGTTGTTTTGGGCTGTTTGTTATGTCAAGCGACGTGTTTGTTTACTATTTTAATCTCCGTGCTTAACGCTCCAGCTAAAATAATAACGCTACCCTTCCGCCCTTGCTCGCTCTCGACTCCTTGCTTGCCTCACCCACCAGGCGCGGTGTTCTCTCTCTCTCTCTCTCTCTCTCTCTCTCTCTCTCTCTCTCTCTTCTCTCTCTCTCTCTCTCTCTCTCTCTCTCTCTCTCTCTCTCTCTCTCTCTCTCTCTCCCTCTTTCCCTCTCCCTCTCCCTCTCCCTCTCTCCCTCTCTCCCTCTCCCTCTCCCTCTCTCCCTCTCCCTCTCCCTCTCCTCTCTCCCTCTCCCTCCAATCTTTCCCATAATCTTCCTCCTGTCTTACTCTCCCCCTCTCCTCCTCCCTCCATCCAACCCTCTCCACCCATCCACCCCCCCATCTCCCCACCCTCCCACACACCTTCCCGCCGCCTACTCACCCACCCCCTACCTTCCCGCCACCTACCTCGCAACGCAGAACACGATAACACCTTCTCCTGATAAGCAAATCGCTACATACCGACCGACTAACCGACTGTTCAAATTGACGAGATAATGCTGGTCTCTTTGTTGTTTGTTTGTGCGTTTGTTAATTTTTTACGTTTACCAAAAAATTATTATGATTTTTTTTTTTTTTTTTTTTTGGCTTCACTGGAGGATTGATTAGTAGCAACGGATTTAATACAAACCTTTGATTTAGATAAGAATTCTTTTCGAATCAAGGAAGCCTCTTTTTTCTCTCTTCTGTTTTAAGAACGCATTTTCCTGAGCAAACACTCTAAGTAAGCCACTGATCTCAGAATTAAACGCGTTTAAAGAGCTGAACCTTCTGACACACTCACAACTCTGCGTAATCTGAATTCTAAGCCGTATCTTTGCCTATAGCCAAATGATAAGGACACATTCTTTTGATAGCTGTATGATTTTGTGGTTCTGTCCTTATTCAGTGAACATGACCCAGTGATCTACATATATACACTTAAATCTCCATGCCCATAATCTGGTGTATACTTTGTGTTTATATGGGTGATTTTTTGTGTATTTGTGTGCGGTTCTGTTTGTATTTGTATAGATATCGATGAGTGTATGCATATTTGCAAACTTTAATATAGAGAGATGCTTTTATTGATATACATAGTACTTTATTTATTGATTTATTTTTAAACATTTAACTACCAAAAAATATAAATGTACTCTCCCTCTCTCTCTTACTTCCTCTGTGTCTCCCTCCCCTTCTCTCTATCTGCCATTAACTCACCAATCTCATCTCCTCTCTCGTCTCCACTCTCTCTCTCTCCCTCTCTCCCCCTCCCCCCTTTCTCTCTTTCTCCCATTACCTTCTCAGTCTCCCTTTCTCTCTGCCATTAACACACCTTCCTCATCTCCCTCCTCCTTCTCCCCTCCTTTTCCCTCTCCCATTCTCCCTCAACTCCTCAATCTCTCTTTCTCTCTCTTCCAAAACTCTCCTCATTCTCTCTTCCTCTCCACATCACTCGCCTTCCTCATCTCCCTCCCTCCCTCTCCCTCTCCCACCCCTATCCTCAATCTCTCTCATTACTCACATCTCCCTCCCTCCCCTCTCTCTCTCCCCCTCCCTCCACTCCTCTCTCTCTCTCTCTCCTCTCCCATTCTCACTCTCTCTCATGGTCTGCTCTCTCTCACATCTCCTCTCTCTCTTTCTTCGTCACTCTCTCTCTCTTCTCTTCTCTCTCTCCTCTCTCTCTCTCTCTCTCTCTCTCTCTCTCTCTCTCCTATTAACTCACCTTCGCCCTCTCCTCCCTCCGTGCCCTGGAGCAAGAGGACGCGTTCCCTTGTTTCCACGCACATTACCTACAGTTTCCTCTTGGCGCGCGGTTGGAAGTCTTGGCAGCGAACTAAACACTTTTTTAAACTTCCGAACAACTTCATATTATTTTTTTTTCTAAACGTTGGTTATTCATTATATGTGAATAGAAGATGTTCCTGATTGGTGAGGCTGCCTTTACTTTACCTTCATTTACCTTCGTAAGGTAAATGTGATTATCAGGAGCTTTGTTCGTGGTCTGTGTGCTTTACCTTACCTTCGTTACCCTAATCTGGCGTCGGGAAAATGCGTATTTATATTCGTATGATCTACATGTCTGTCTGATTTTTGCTGATCAGTCTACCTGCCTACTTACCTACCTATCGATTCAGCAGCCACTAACATCAGTATATATATCTACACAGTATCTATTTGTACATGTGAAAATGTAAACATATGTAGGCCTATATAGATAAAGATTCACAACGACAATAACATACGCACACAGACATACACACACACAGAACATATATATATATATATATATATATATATATATATATATATATATATATATATATATATATATATATATATATACACAACACCACACACACACACACACACACACACACACACACACACACACACACACACACACACACACACACACACAACACACACACACACAACACATTCATACACACATTATATATATATATATATATATATATATATATATATATATATATATATATTATATATATATATATATATACTATATATATATATATATATATATATATATATAACATATATACACATATATACATGTCTCCACTTGCCTTTTATATACACTAACGTTTGACAGTTAACTTTTCATTCCACTTGATGTATCACACATTCATCTGCACTAGACATGTCACAGACATTTTCAAGTTTATAATTATATACTTACAATTTACAGTGTTATCGCAGCAAAGATAGATTATTTTGATAGCCAATTCACAACAAGAGTTAGATATTACACGATAGTAAATATTGATCAAAATTAAATTCAACTCGAATTTTTTTGGACCAGATTTCAATTTGAAACAGGTAGAAATTCAAAACAAACCGTAACATATTTCGTACAGAAAAAGAATATGAGTATGGTATACCACCAATGTCATTATCGATAACTTCGTCAATAAGTTCATCACCATCATCAGTAAAGTCATCACTATGAACAACAAAGTCATCATCACAGTCATCACCACCATCTCACGTGTTTTGCTTTGGCAGGTTAGCCCCGGCGAGTTTTGGATTGGTAGAGAGAGAGAGAGAGAGAGAGAGAGAGAGAGAGAGAGAGAGAGAGAGAGAGAGAGAGAGAGAGAGAGAGAGAGAGAGAGAGAGAGAGAGAGAGAGAGAGAGAGAGAGAGAGAGACGAACAGGTAGACAGACAGACAGACAGACAGACATTTACAGAGATAGAAGGATAAACAGGCAGACTTTGAGTGAGAAGAATAGACAGACAGACGAACAGATAGATAGACAGACAAACAAATAAAGAGCGAGAGAAAGCGAGAGATAAAGGTACCTGTTTGCACTCCACTCCCCCAAACCAACTTTGCCAAATTCACGTGAGATTTTTTCTGCTGCTCAGATATATGAAGAAGAAAAAAAAGTTTCTGGCGTAAATCCCGTATGTCAGTTTCCACCGAGGCTTCAGCAGGTAGCGGAAGCCCCCCACGGAAACCCACACTTCCAAAAGGGTTAGAAATTTTCAATCTCTATCGCGACCAAACGCTGAACAATAACAGCCACACGGCACCTAGCACGGAGCGCGCGGCGAACATCCTCTCTCTCCCACTGGCACAGCGTAACT